ACACACACACACACACACACACACACACACTGTTGACCCACAGAGGCCAGGAGGTGGCGCTGCAATGTAAAACAAACACACCCTGGCCGTGTTGTAGATCCTGAAGATGCGACTGATGACGTCTTCCTCCAGATCAGCAGAGACAAACTCCACCTGCAGCGAACCCAGACGATGGACGCCATTCTCTGGCCAGTACTGAGGACACAGCTGACACACACACACACACAAACACACACACAAACACACACACATATCATCAATACTCAATAATCTGATTGACTGTTTGTGTGTATGTGTGTCTAAAGTTATGAGGCCAGTTTTGGTTCAATACCATCATTGTGGGGACATTTTGAGGAGTCCTCACAACTATAGAGAGACGTGTGTGTGTGTGTGTGTGTGTGTGTGTACCTGAGCCGGGTCAACATCGTTCAGCATGACGATGGATGTACAGTGGTAGTCGAGCACCAGACGCCAGAAGTCTTTTACTGTATTGGGCAAAGGATGCTGGGTAACGATGAAGGCCGACGGCTGCTTGTAGCTCTGTAACAAACACACACCATATACAGTCAAAACAGGAAATGACATCACAAATAGCAACAATAATGCAACAATTCTTATATTCTTCGCTCAGAGCTTTTAATGTGAAGGGAACTCACATTTCCATCACACACTCACACACACACATGCACATACACACACTCACACACAGACACACACACACACACACACACACTCTCACACACACTCACACACACACACWCACCYACACACACACACACACACACACACACACACACACACACACAGCTCTAGTTCCCATGATGTTTTTCAAAATAAAAGTCCTGACTGGCATCATCTTTGTATGGGTGAAGGCTTCATGACCAAAGCATCATGGGAACTGTCATGATAACAAACTACAATCACCGCCTCATGGTTGTTTACATCACAGCAGTCGCCATACATATATTTTCATTGTGAACTTTGACCTCTGAAATCTAATCAGTTCATGTTTGATTCCAACGGAACCTTGGTGCCAAATCTGATCAAATTCCCTCGAGGTCTTTCTGAGATGTCGGGTTCACAAGGATGAGACGGAGGACCTGAAGACATATTGCCTCCACCGTGTGACAGGTGCGTTACATACGTCCATCAGAGCAGCGTTGATGTAGTTGGAGCTCTCTCCGTCGATGGTGATGAGGAACGGCAGGCAGCGGTCCGGAGGCAACACGTCCATGCAGCGGTTCTTTTCGTGGTTTCTAGGCAACAGAGCGATGCTGCAGTCCTCCACCCGCAGTGTCGGTGTCACCATGTTCAGAGTCTGAGCACACACACACACACACACACACAC